ATGTTATTTGTTGTCATATAATTGGTTTGATTTTTATATATTGTGGGAGATTGGCAGGTCGCGTCAATTTTAGTAAGCGAGGAAAAAATAATAATTGACGTGGAGTTTTGTTGGATCGTGTTTTTTTAGACAATGTAAAATTTTGTTCAGATTAATTTAACAAAATTTATAACCGCATTAAAGAATAAATATTTCATAATCGGTAATTTATTTGATTTCCGATAGTGGTGACCCCGACGTGATGACATTATGCCGCGTCAACACGTACATTTTAGCTGCCCCAAACTGCACATCCGGAATTTATACCAATGACTTGCAACTTTGGTTTGCCTTAGTGGAGAAGGCATTCGCGTCTTTCAATATCCACGATGAGAAGGAGAAATATGGATTATTGGTTACCAGATTGGATATTAGACATTCAACCGAGTGCGAGATTTGATAATCAATGAGCCTAAAGAGATGCCTTATTCTACATTAAAGGCTGCGTTAATTTCAAGATTAGGCACTCCGGAAAAGTCAAAGTTGCAGTTGTTTATGATGGATGTAGACCTGGTGATAGGACGCCATCTCAATACCTATGTCATTTGAGGACTTTAGTCGGAACTTCAATGATCGATAACGCAGTTAAAGCAATATGGTTATCCAGACTTCCAGTGGAAATTCCACAGTCCACAGTCAATACAAGAGGTAGGTGAACTAGCTGACCGCTTATTCATTAACCATTCACAGCAACGTGTAGCTGTGATTACAGATTCACAAACCTCTGAGAATGAAACAAAAAATTCTGATCTGCGTCAAATGCCTCGAGATATTGAAGCTGTTTCAAAGCGTTTGGATAAGATCCAAATGTATCAGAAGAAGAAAGTGTCTTTTAGAAGATGACAAGATAACTTATGTTGGTTTCATAGACGCTACGGAAGTCATGCGAGAAGGTGTATACCGCCATGTAATTTTAAGTCGGGAAACGATACGGGCGTTCACTAAAGGCGGCTAGTGACAAACGCCCAAATAACTCACGCCGCATTTTCATCACAGATAAGGAGACAAATGTGAGTTTTCTGATAGACACTGGATCCGATGTATGTGTGTACCCGCGCAGTTTAGTGAAATGTCCCCGTAAGAAATGTTCATTTGAGCTTTCAGCAGCAAATGGAACACCGATAGCTACATACGGTATGTTATCTTTAAAGTTAGATTTTGGACTTAGCAAAACCTTATCATTGAAATTCGTGATAGCAGAGGTGGTATTATTGGTGTAGATTTACTTGCTTATTTCAATCTCGCGATTGATGTTAAAAAGCGTATATTAGTTGAAACCCCTGCAGACTCAGCGGAACAACTTCAATCGGAAAGTAGAATAATACATTCCGTTAAAATGATGACAGCCACATTATACCCATATGATAAAATTTTAGAGGAAT